TGCCGGCGGCCGAGGGGATCAACGTCTGCTCCCTTAGCGTCCCCGGCCTGCTGCAAAAGGGGGAGGACCCGTCCGGCGCGTAGCACCTTCTTGCTGCCGCTTGTTGGGATTTGGGAGCGGTCTTGCCCTCGCCTTACGGCTCAAAGCACAGGAGGCCGCCTCCGGCTCCTCTGCACTTAGGCGAGGACAGCCAAAATTGAGCCCTTCAGCTTGTAAACTCAGGGTGAAGGCGAAGGTTTACAATTACATAGGAATGTCTGTTGATCCCTGTCACGATTGCAAGCTGGGGTTTTGATTCCTCGCAGCACAAGCGTTAGCGCTCTCCTACCAATTCACCAATTTTCTTGCCCTCCATCTCTGAAACACAAGAGTCTCAAGAGTTAAGATGCAAAGAAGACAGTGCGTGCAAGCAGCGTCAGGTAGAACCCAGTTTAGAACAGAGCTGATCGAAACGAATAATTTAGCTACATTCTGTTTTTTAAAAGTGTTCTTTTCCACAAAAAGCAGCTGTGTAATACATGAATGTTACATGATAAAAAATTTTGATGATAACCAAGAGGTCAGCAGTCATTTCCTTAGAGGTGTTGCTTATATTTCCATTAAGAATATAAATTATAGATGTCCTACGTTATAACATTACATACCACTCTTTCAGGGCATTCATGACTTATTCAATCTGAAACTGCATGTTTATGTTTTCCATAATGGCTATCAAATGCAACGTCAAGATTTTCTTAAACTAACCTGCTTATAAAGGGCTTATTTCACGACATACGGGTTGTTACTTTGTCAAAGAATATGAGAATAATTGTTACCAAACGAAAACTGCAAGAAATATACGATTGCTGTAAGTGTTACACTAACTGTGTTACCAGGTTTGAGCATGATCATTAATTGGAAGGTTATCACTGGCCATGACATACACAAGAACATTTAACTGCCTCCCGCAGTGACCACGCAAATACAGAGAATGATGGTTTAATGGGTAATCCCAGAGATACCAGGCAGTGCTCAAAAGCTGAAGAGCTACCAGCATTATTGCTGCGAGGAGGAAGGGACTCGAAACCTTCCAACCGGTCTGTTCAGCCTTGGGCCTCTGCTGTCAAAGCTGATAGCGGTGATTATGGCCTGAAATTACCAGATTATTTTATATAGGCCTTTGACGACAACGCTGCATCATATAGCGAAAGGTCTGTTTCCTTCTCTGTTTTAAATGCCTTACTTTGCTCCAGTGCCTGTGCAGACTTCAGTCAGAAAGTATTTCTCATTTACATGACCTAGATAGAATAATAGTGAGAAAGATGTTCCTTGACCTTTTTTTCTGTTGATTTGCTATATTCAGCCTGGAAGAAAAACATAATCATGGGAATGCATTGTTTCTTTTATGGCGGTATTAGGAAGCAAGGCAAGGTAGGTTGGGGGATAGATCTAGGCGGAAGCCTTGCAATAAATGGACAGAAAACCACATGGAATAGCTTTAGGGATTACACAGTTTTGCTTGTTTTTTAACAGAGTTATTTTAAACAAGTTCCTTGTTTAGTGACTTTTCAACTTGATTTTACTACAGTGGCCTGCAGCTGACAATAGCTGTAAGCTAGGTGATCTAACTCCAGCACGGCTGTGTTTAGAACTATGTCAGTAATACGGAGGATAGCTCGGTGCAATGGGTGGCTTATTCCATGATTACTCATTTCAGAGTCATTACCTCAGCTGGCATACTGGACAACCTATATTAAAAAGTGCTATGAACTGACTTGAACTGTGGTTACAGAAATAGTCTGAACGAACGCATCTTGACTCCGTTTGGCCTTAGCTATCGCTCAACTGTATCCATTACTGTGGTCAGGCGCAGGTGCCTTTTCTAATCTAGACAAGGCTTCCCATGTTTCTGTGATATTTTCGTATGACAGCATACAAGAAATAAATCTTTCCTGAAATAACAAAGCAAGAAGCAGAGGAAATACCCAGGTACAGTCTTCCATGGACTGCCACGATGAACATACCCCTGAGATAAGTTAAAGGAACATTTGTCTGGGTTTAGAATGATTCGTCACAAACTCTGGCTTTGCGCACCCATCTGTGCAATGCGTAATGAAGCTGAATAAATCGTCTGCCCAAGAAGGAGAGAAACAGAGTTGCCGTTTTTAACAACTTTAAATATTTAATTCCAAGACGTAGTAGAAAAAGCAGACGGTTGTCCAGAAGGTTGTAGAATCCCAAAATACAAACTGTGACTAGCAATAGTAAACGCAGGAGATTATCTAATAGTCAAGATCTTTCAGAGAAATTATAGTTACTGCCTGAACTAGTACCATGGTGGTGAATAACAGCATGAATAAATGAAAATGCAAACCATCTTTGTGGCGAGGAGCCTCAGTAGCAGGACATGAAAAAGTTTTAAAAAGTTCTCATTCTGCAAATGGAAGTACTGATTCCAGAGTGATAGTTTGGGGCTTCTTTTGTCATCCAAGGACACTTAAAACGAATGGAAGTATGCCCACTGACATAGACAGGCTTTGAATTCAGGCTCCATCCTCTTTCAAAAATAAGTCAAAATATTAAAAAAAAAGTCTGCCCAGTCAAGCCTGGGTAGGAAATGTGAGACAAGAGGACATTGAGAGAATGTCTGTCAAATTACAGGAATTAGGGAAATAGCCCAAACAATCACGAATGAAGATTATTTTGTGTAATTGTGTCCAAATACTAAATTCATACCCAACATTGCTTATCTCAAATTATTCCATGCTTGTATTGAACCGAAAAGAAGTTACGAGAGGTGATCATTTTGTGAAAATAATTTTAAGAAAGCATAGCCTCAAAACAAACAGCTTGTACAGTTTCCAATAGCTAACAGAAATATTTATTCTGAGTATCTCAATTCTAGTCCACTGTTGCCTAAAAAGAGAAGTATCGTGTATTTGAAATCTTCGTCATTATGATGTCCATTGTAAACAGCTATTTAGGCAGAACTAAAGCTACTGAAAGTGGTCTCCCAAAACTCACAGAGAAAGCTGACACGCTGTTCAGCTGGAAACAGCCTTCTTGAAGGAGAATTGATGTGAATCCTTTTGTAAAGGAGATCTGTGCTCTGAGCACTCAAAATACATCATAGAATACTAATCACACTACTTCCCAAAGCAAAAGAAAAATAAAAACGGATAGAGTGCATCACTGAACTGAGAATGGTACATCTCTTTGGAGACATTTCGGGGGGGGAAAAAAAGGATGCCTGCCTGCATCCTTATCTCTATAGACTTAAAGAAGAACCCTGAAACAGTATAGCATAAATCTTCCATTTGTATTTTATGTTCCCCCATATGAGAAAGAAAGGACAGATCTCAGCCTGGGTAGATTAACACAGCTCCAGTGGAGTGAGGGAGACATGGCAGCAATCTCATCTTCTTACCCTAATGTGCTGGTGGAACTCGGAGCAGTGCAGGAAGAAAAGGTACAGATGAAAGATTACTGAAAAGAAAGCTGGAACTGCTTTGTTCTGTCTTTTTTCTGGAATCTGAGTTTCTCCCCCTAAAATAAAATAGCGGGGCTGCGTATCTCAGACAATGGATCAAACAGAAAGCACGCACCTCTTCAACCACGTGATGCAGAACACGTGCTGATTGAGGTGCAGAGAGTCACAAACGGGTCCAAAAAGCGCCGTTTGGCACGTCGCGTTAAAATGTTTCACCTTCGTCTTATGGAAGGGTAGCGAACTTCAGTATTAGGAATATTTCAAACATTTCTTTTCTCCCTAACACAAGGGAGAGATTGACTAATGGTCCCAGTGCTTTGAATCAAAATACTTGCTATACTTGTCTATATTGAAGTGCTGTAGTAGTAAAAATTAAATCTTTGATGCTGCCATGCTTTCCCTATAAAATGAGAAGCTCATAGGAGGAAATATATTGGCTCTGCATGTGGCCAGAAAAAAGAGTTTTCTTCCAATAGTTTTTTTCTTGGGTAAGACTTTTTATACTGTGTTTGACATTCTGAATTACATGATTATATAGTGTAAGACTCCAGCAACATTTTGTATTGTAAAGATGGAGATGCTCAGCATTTTGCCAGATGCCAAGTGATATTCTGATATTTCTATCTTCTCTTTAAACGGAGTGACAGTCAGCATATTCACAATGAAGCCAAGACAATCTGCTATCAAGTTACAGTAGTGATATTTTCCCTGTTGAAGATCCCAGAGCTTGTTGGAATAAAGCTCCTTAAAACTCAGTGTCTGGAATAGCTCCAGCTCGAATTGCTCTCTCTGTAATATAATTTTATATTTGTGCCAGTCTAATAAGTAGATCACTGGGTAGAGGCTTTTGTAAGTAAGTCTATACGTACTGCACCATTTCCTGGCTCGGTGCTCCAGTGTGTTGCAGGCTGTGTGCAGTGGGGGAGGTGCCAGAGCTGATCAAGCAGTGTAATTTTATACATTACTGAATCAGTGCAGGAGAAACCTGGAGGGACAAAGCATCATCTTCTCTTTGGACTGCACTGTAAAATCCTACAGCTCTCTCAGCCCAGCCATGCTCTGATACATTTTTTCTCTCCTTTTTCTGATTTTGGTGTGAATGATAAAGTGATCTGATGATGGCTCTCGTTATGGAACCTATTAGCAAGTGGACGCCCAAGCAGGTAGTGGATTGGATGAAAGGTAGGATCCTTTATTCCCCTGTATTGTCTGTACTTTGGGTCCTTGCAATTTACAGATCTGCTCTTGTATCCTTTGTTTTGGGAAGAGTTTATTCAGTTTTAATAATCCGTATGCTGCTTTGCACAGTAGTTTTTAAAGACACGACTGAGGAGGGAGGCTGCTTAAGCTGTGCAGCATGTTGTTGGAATTTCTGCTGGGAAGTGAGCAGGGATCAAATGCATTTGTTGGTAAATGCAGACGTAAAGTGTTTGTGTCTCATGGCTCCATTATGCATTGCACAGTGTAACGTTATTATGTTTGGTTGCTTTAAATTTGCCCTGATTAGGTCTGTTTTGCTCACATTGGGTGATCTGATGCAGTGGCTGTGCAGCACTTGTGTGTAGTTTAGGGTACCAGAAGGAGCGTAAGGTGCCGGTGACTGGACTGAGGAATTCTGCTCCTTTAGTGACATGTCCTGATTCGTTCAGGCTTCCCAGCCGCTCTTGCTCGTGCCGCTGCTGGGTCTGACGCACCCGCGTCCCCGTCCGTCGCTGGTACCGTGGACAGTGCAGCCCGTGCCGTGCGTGGGGCGCGCAGGGGGGACGCGCAGGGCTGCGCACGGCTTCGCTGGGGAAATTCTTCCCGAGATCTTGACAGGAATGACGATTTCCCTGCACATTCACAGTTTCACAACACAGCCCTAAGCTGTGACATGTTTTGCCTTACAATGCTCGGCTGTGCTGCAAACAGATTGGCTTGGATGGGAGGGTGAAGAATTGTTTGTGATGATAAGTGTGTGAGATTTCTCCAGAGTGTGGAAAAATGTATTTCCACAGAAGGATGCATTAGTGTTGTTATACGTTGCCTCTGCTGAGCTGTCTGTCTTAGAGACAAATCATTTCTGCTACAGGGGATCTCCATTACATAAGGAGAAGAGGTGCAAATGTTGTTTGTACGTTACTCATGGCAATAATTTCTGTAATGTGATTACTGAACTTATTGGAGGGTTGAATTGGACGCCTGCTATAACATCCTTAAAGCTTGCAAAGTATTATCATTGATAAGGGAATGGCTTCAATTTCATTTTGCTGAGATAATGTCTCCATACTTAACTGAAATTGGGCTGTTTAGGTGCTTATCAGACACATTACAGTTATGAGCAAACTATTCTTTTACAAGCACACAGTATTATGAAGCTAATGGTATCTAAGGGAATGTATGTAGTTTGTTTCTCAGGTGTTTGTGAACTCAGGTTAATTGGGAAGTCTTAAGCAGGTCATTGGGATGGATCCCGAAACCATTAGATATAGGATTGATTCCCATACTCCAGTGTCATTACTTGAAATCAATTCCTAATGTACGTGCAGAGGAGAGTTTTCTGATCCACACCTTTATTTTCAGTACGTAAAAGATTTTAAAAGTGGGCAGATCGTCATGCTATTTTAACTCATTACTTGAATTATAATGTAGATTAAATGTCAAAGTGTGTATAATACTTGTTGCTAAATTTAAAAATCCTTCCTGCTACTTTTTTCTTCTGTTTGATGTAAACTAATTACATCTTGGGTAACATTAATCCATAACGTGTGTAGTGCATACCATGGGAAGCAAGAAGGTCATCCAAACAAAACATTTTTAAATGTATGGAGTTGCCCGACAGTGAAATTTCTATACAAAGACTGCAGACTGCATCCGTAGGGACGTCTGGAGTAGACAGTATTGTCAGTTGTGTGCCTCTGGGCTTAAGCATAACTAAGTACAATGCGGTGAACACTGAAGTAGTCACAAGACAGGTATTTTCCTTGGTAACGCGAGTGCTACAAATCCACAAACAGTAAAGTTGCACATTTGTCCATTTTTACCATGCTAATATCACAAGCCCCTTTTTATCCCGGTGTTTGCCTTTACAAATGCATACTTCAATCGTAGCCGAAGAAAAGACCTAACAAACACACACAAATGGAAGCATACCAGAATTAGCTTAAAACTACTTGTAAATCCCTTACTTTACAAAAATTGCCCAGTTGTGGCCACTGTTTACCTGTAATTTACATACATTCTGCATGGCAGCTCCATTAGCTATAGCCATTCTGCTGAATAGCTGTTTATGCGTTAGAGAGGCTGAAGGTCTGCACGGGTAGTACCAGTCAAGTGATAAGGTAGCTTTTATGTATGTCTTCTATACTGAAAGGTACACTTTGACAGCATTAAAAGATATAGGAAAGACATTTTAGAAAAATTACCACGCTATGAATGTGGAACACTATCTTTGCTATAGAAAGCAACATGTTAATAAACAATGTAACAAATATTGCAAGTGTAATATACCTTTTTTTTGGCTTAAAGATACGTAGTCAATTAGCTTTATTTGTAAAGGTTGTGAATTCTAACATATTTCATAGGAAAATGATAGTAATATGTCTTTTAACTTGAATTTATCATAATTATTTAAGGTAGCATAACTTTCTTTTAAAAACTGTTAGCAAAGTACATGTTTTGAAATTAGCTAGCAGTAGCAGCAACATCAAATAATTGAAGAGAAGATGGAAGAAAGCCACAAAAATAATGTTAATAGTTTGAGACCTGGCTACCCAGACTGCGTCTTGCTTACAGTGTGCTATTACCAGAAGCAGCTGTAGCCTGAGCCCCAACCAAGAGGAGACATCCTTCTGTTCTTTTCCTTAAGGAAATGTTACTTGCCAAAAAAGTAAAAATTGGTAGGCTTTAAGGAACATTATTATGACAAGTTGGCATCTTGTGTTTATCCCCAGTTCCTTTCTCGGGAACGCATTCAACTGGAATTCAACTTGGGAACTGCATCTGATGGTGTGGACAACCTGAAAAGGCCATGCGAGTCTTTAGAAATTGATTCTTGAGGCTTATAGAGGTTCTAGAAGTTAAGGCTCCAGATACCTTTGTGTTAAAGAAATCATCTTTCTACAAAAATATTTTGTTAAGTTTAGCAAATGCACAGCAGAAGGCACTGTGGTTAAAAAGAAAGTTTTCAAAGGAGCAGAAAACATTAATTGTGAAGGTATTTTTAACAACAGTTTTCAGTCACTATTCCTTTTTTTTCCCAAATTTTCCAAAATTTTAGATTTCTCTAGATGATTTTCACTTCAGAAAACAAGCAAGTATTTCTCCTGCTATTTACCCATTTCTTAGGTAACTTAAATGTTTTCCTGGGGATACGTACTATGGACCCAAAAGGTACTTTAAGAGAAAGAACTTTGCCTTGCTCAAATTCCATTGTGGCACTGTTGGAAAACAATTATTACCCATAAAGCTTGCAAGTACATTAAGAATCAGAGTAGTTTTCAAACTTGGTCAGTTTTTCCTTTGATTAGTTTTAACATACTAACGTGAGTAAATGACAAACTGCACTTCAATATTTACATCTTTAATGCTTCTGCCTGGAGCCTTTGAATGCTTTTTGGCCCAGGAACCCCTGCACTTACTGTGAAACTTGCTGACACTTTGCAGTTGCAAACACATCGTCAGAGCGAGCACTCCGAAACCAAAGGCCATCTGCTTTAATACGTATGCAGGCACTATGGAAGGTAATCCTGTACAGAACTTGGGGGTTTTGGGGGGCAGAGGGGAGGTACGATGTCCTACTCCTGACTCTTATTTGCACTTAGTACAAGCATGATAGTTTGTGTTTTCACTGTAAGTAGAATCTAAAAGGTATTCTTTGTACTTTTACAAATAACAGCATTGAAGATTTTGTACTTCCTAAGTGAAGCAGTTTACAAGTAGGTCATTTAAAATGTGAACTCATTCACAGTGAAGTGACACCTCTGTCCAAATAAATACTAACTTTTCAAAACAAGCCAATGAAATGAAATGAAATACAATGCAATGAAGTACAGCTGTGACTTTCAGAGAATGGAATGTTATTAAGCAGCTGAAAATTAAAATAGGAAGCCAGTTATTTCTTAAGTACCTGTAAGTAATAACTCCACATGGAGTCAGTTATTCAAAGTCTTGGGGACTGACAGTAAGGTTTGCCTGCCAAAACAGCCTGCAGTGGTGGTTTCTCTCATAATGAATGCTCAGCTTCAGATACTCATTTCAGAACTGCAACCCATTTTTTCCCCTTTAAATCTAGAATTTCTCCACTCTCAACAGGAGATGCAGACATGAAAAAATAAAAATTAATTCAGTTGGTAAACTGATTAACTGTGCTGCACTGATCCTGTGCAGAATAATTATATGTTTAGCTGAAGGGTTTTCCTTAGCATGTAATTCCCTGATTTCAAGCTGGCTCATAAAAGAGAAAGGAAGGGAGGGAGGGGAGAGCTGAGAGCAGGGAAGCTGATGACGTGAGTGGACTTGTTAGCATTCATATCACGCAGGGCTCCGGCAAACCCCTTCTCAGTCTTCTTTTGCTTTTCATTAGATCACTACCTGATCTGTAGCAATATGTCATAACCAGGGAGTCTCCTCTATTTGCAGAATGTAATATATAAAATCTTAAAGAGCGTACTGGAGACACAGCTAAATATTATGATCTACTGCAAAAGCAGCCTTATAGGTACTGAGCTGGAGGATACTTAGCTTTCTTGATCCCCTTTCATGACCTTAGAATCCCATAACGCAAGAACTTGACTTCACAAGATACAGTTTGAAACTTGAGTAGATAACCCAGGTCATATCTTATTCAGAAAAATGTTGGGTTTATAACATCTTTTCAGTTCTTTCTGAAGACAAATAGGTTTGGAAGAGAATGGAGATCCACAGAGATGCCCTCAGAATTAACGTTGAATTTTCAAGCAGTTCTAAAGTAAAGGTTTCATCATTTTCCTTCTACTCACCAATTTCGAAACTGAAACAATTTACTGTTGTGGCTCCCCGTTGGACTACTGTGTTCCACTAGTACCGCATTTCCAGTTGTCACTAGGAAGTCACTGAATCAGAATTGTCTGCAATTCCTCTCTGATTCCTCGTACAAGTTTCAGACTGTCATACTTTTTAGTAATACATTTTGGCAACAACTACCCTGTTGAATGTTCTAAACT